TGGCAGCTGGACCCACCGGTGGGTCCGTCGGGTTCTAGGGGTTAATGCATCTATTCTTCTAATTGAAATAACTTATAGATCTGAAACGAGTAATTGAGTAAAAACACAAAAACATGAAATCTCAAAATGGACAATTATATTTTCCTAAGACTGTTTTAACAAACCGGCTGATTTTCTTTCTTTTTTTTTTTTAGCATTCACTGACAGCAGCCAAAAAGACCTTCTAAAATTAATTGGCGTCATTCCTGTAAAGTATGATGGTGAGACACGCAGACGCACAGGTTTTTTTTTTTTTGTACAGCAACATTTTCAAGGACATTCTAAAGGCTTCATTTGCCCTTAAGGTCGCTCCTACAACATCCCTATCCAGCTGTGGCTTCTGGACTCATTCCCCTTCACTCCACCGATATGCCTCCTTAAACCCACCTCCAACATGGTGATCAGAGAGGGAAAACATGTCGACGCCAAGGGGCGGATCCACCTTCCGGGACTTCACAACTGGGATTATGTAAGGCTTTAGAAAGCAGTCTGTGGACTGATGTCTCCTGTCATGCAGTCTTTTTTTATTTTATTTTTTGTCTGATTACTTTCACCAAAAAATATAATGATATAATATAATAAAAAAATCTAAATTATAGAACACCATTATACTTTTTTTTAATAGAAAATATTGTTGCTAATGTTGTGTGTAATTACATTATAATGCAATTATCTATACATTTCCTAAAAAGAAAATTAAAAACAATCCACTGGACTTTGTTTCCAAGTTTGAAGACGTTTCGCTTCCCATCCAAGAAGCTTTTTTGTTTTTTTAATTTTTTTTGGAAATACTATGACCTGGATGACTGAGAATCTTCACCAGAATCTATAACTTTTATTTTCATACATGTTGGTATGTAGGCCAAATCAAAAATATAAAATACAGTGCAACATTTATAAAAGAGATTGTTCCTAATGAATAAAATAACTGCCCTTCTTGATCTGCCTTTTAAAGAGCAACTTTAGTATAAGAAACCAGTCTTAGATGGTAAATTAGCCAGTCTGGTACGATAGTTTGTCTTCTTTCTGTTGCTTAACACTGTAGCTTCAATCTTTTCTTTGGAATCTAATTTAACTATAAAAGTAGTATAAAGGACATTAACGTCATGTTTGAAACGGTAACTTTCATTAATCAGTGCTGCTTAGCCATGATGTTTTCAAATGGCTTTACTCTGTACCAGCCCAGGTCATCTGTCGTTGGTCTCCTAAATGAGATGATCAAGAAGTTTGAGGAGGTCCCTCCGCTTTCGTCAAAACCCACAGAGGACACCAAAGACCCCCATGAGCTCATGGCGTTTGTCTCTAATCTTCAGATCAATGATGGTGCGGCTATTTACTTTCAATGTTAAATGTTTACCATTGCAAATCAATTTAAAAAAAAAAATTTTTTTAATGTTTTTTTTCATGTTAAATGTGTTATTTTGCATTTATTTCAGGTGACAATCGACATCTCAGCCAACAAAACATCAAAGTTTCAGTAATTGGAGGAGGGGATTTGGGCATGGCGTGTGTGATGAGCATTTTATCTAAAGTAAATGAACATTGTTTTTGACAGTTAAAGGGGAACACCGTTTTTTTTTTTTTTTTACATTGGCCCATTGATTTTACGTTATTATATAATGTTCTACTCACCCATATGAGTTTTGTGTCATTTGGAGTTGTTCCGAAGATATCCAAGTAACGTCTTCCTAGTCTTTCTATGGGCAACGACTTGAAGGCTCAAACTAAAATGTTCATAATTTATTCTTTATGGTACGCTACTATTCATAGCATGTAGGCGAATCACTGTCCCCCAGACATCCGCGGTTCTATTTTTAAAAAACAAACAAAACATGCCTGGAAGATGTCTAGTGCTATGACCACAGATGATCTCGCTCTCGAAATGGAATTGCACGATTCAGATTACCTAGCCGAATGAATAGAAGGGGTAGAGCGTAGCCACCTGTGGCCCAGGCACAACTCCAGTCCAGCGCGCGGGTGACGTCATACACACTCTGCTTTGTTTTAAAAAAATATAAATCTAAAAAATATAACCGCGGATGACTGGGGGACAGTGATTCGCCTACATGTTATAAATGCTGGCATATCATAAAAATAAATAATGAACAGTTTAGTTTGTGCCTTCAACTCGTTGCCTAAAGAAAGATGTAACTTGGATTACAAAAGCGAATATCTTCAGAACAGCTCCAAATGACACAAAACTCATATGGGTGAGTAGAACATGATGTACTAATGTAAAATCCAGGGCCCAATGTAAAAAAAAAAAAAACGGTGTTCCCCTTTAAGTAGCTTTGCCAATCTTGTCAGGTTGGAGCTTTTTTTTGTGATGTCATGCTTTGCATTGTTGCTTACCATTTTTTTCCCTCCATTTACTCATTATCTAGTGTAATGTGGACAAACTAGTTTTCATTGACCTTACCGAAAGCTCCACTAAAGGCGGGAGTACAGATCTTGAAATGTTTCATCTGCCAAAGGTACAGGTATCCAAAGGTACGTCATTTCTGTTTTTGTCTTGTTATGACGGATGGGTGCTTTTACTCTTATAACATTCTTGTACTGTGAAAGTAAACCTCTGGCTTTGTGCTGATATGGTCTCCTCATGATGACTCACCAACTTGTTTGTTTACCGGAGCAATAAGGCTTTAAAGATATGCTAGTATTGCTATAAGGGTTTCCAGACTAAGCACTGATCATTGTAAATGTTTTATTTATAGATCTTTCAGCTTCTGCAGGATCAAGGGTCATAGTTGTGACGGCAAACTCCTGGAGCAGTGAAGAGTCATACGTTAAGGTGGTCCAGACTAATGTGGATCTATACAGAGGAATAATCCCCAGTTTGGTACATTTTAGTCCCAACACTCTTCTGCTCATTGCATCCCAACCAGGTCAGTAGCAGTCACACCTTCAAAGTGATGACATTTTTATCTGTTTTATAACCCCGTACCTCCGTAACTCGTCTATGCTACTCAGTGGACATCATGACGCATGTTGCCTGGAGGCAAAGTGGTCTCCCTCCGACACGAGTGATCGGAGCCGGGTGTAACCTGGACTCAGAGCGGCTGAGCTACATTCTGACTGTTAATCTGAATTTGCACAAACCCGCATGGGTCATAGGAGAGCTCTCAGACAACAAAGGTGAGTGAAAAAAACCAATAAAGACATTTTTTAATTACTCACATAAAGGTTTGTGTAAACGCTGCTATCATAACGACCTGGTTCCACATTTATACTAACTGCTCCTTCGGTGAAGCATTCAGTTGCATCTTAATGATTAGGACTTCTTTAATAGTTGATTCACCTCATTAATAAAAACAAATACATAAAACAAACAGATCCTTAAAGAAAAATTTGCGTATAATATATATTCACACACATATAAATATATTTCATGTACATTTGGTTCTGCTGTCTCTCAGCTTTCTGACAATACTGCATCAGTATGGGGAAGAAAGGTGATTTGA